TAAATGTAACTTGAGTTGGCCGTCATTCGTCAAAGTTTGTCGCTAAAAATTATGTTTTCGCGCAGCATTGAATAGAGTAGTTTCAAGTCATGATGACACAAGCGTCCTATTTCTGTTGGCCACTAACTACCTAGAGGAAAATTTCAGTTTCATATCTTTAATAGAGGATGCTGAAATGACAGTCAGCTTCCAGTATAAAGACATGGTAGGTAGTAAGCAGTTAGCTTTCGACAATAAATACCTGAAAACATTATAATTAATCGAGTTCGTATCAACCATTTCAGTCAATTTGAGGTCTTCTTTAAATTGAATACTTCTCCACATTTTGGTAAAATTCCGCGAAATAATGAAAGTTAGAGTTTCACCATGGAGAGGTGTGAACCCAAAGTAAATAGCTTTTCAATAATGAAGAGAAGTAGGAGAAGACGACCTGGCCAGATAATTATAGAAACGATTCATATGACATTTTAAGAAGTTATGGGAAATTAGGGCAATGAGCATAAAATGCATCATCAAATAAAATGGAAACGTATCGAGAAGTGCAGGGGAAATAAACTACTATGATAGAAGAAATCAAGTTAAAGCATGGTAACAGAATATAAGATACTATATTAGGATAGAATCAAAATGATATGATAGATTAAATAAAGTAGAAAAGAGCAGAATTGAGCTTCGTTGAATTGACCATTTTAATATGTAAGCTAAGCCTAAAGTAGAGTGGAATAGAATATGGTAAAATAGAATAGAAGTTGGCTGCACTACATAGAAGATAATAGAATAAATTGCCTTTGGACAGTATAGAATAAATCAAATAAATAGTTTAAATAAATAATCAAAAAGGATTATAACATAATATTGTTAGTCAGGATTACTAACTAGATCGGCTCTAGTGTTTGGAGAGGGTAAAAATTCCCGGATAATTCAGTCAAAAGCTTGGATAAGTTTAGTAGTCATGTGACTTTGTTTTCACAAATTGGTCACATTGGCAGGAAGCTCTAGAGGAATGCACCTTGTATGGAGTCCATAGTATGCATGATAATTTCCAATGTCGGACCGTAGACTGGGACCTTGCCATACTTAGCCACACACGAAAACTCATCAGAGTCGAATGAAGTCGACCCTTAGACCAATCGTCGGCTAAATAGTTGTGGTAGCTCTCCTGTCCTAGGGTATTCACCCATCGTATATTTCCCAAAACAGAAGGAGAGATATCACAACTGTTTGGCATAAATTTAGTCAAAGGATTGACTTCATCTATTCCTTAAGGAGTTATGGTGTGGGGCTAAGAGTGACAAGGTTCACTGGCGAGGCCAACTACGATGCCGGCGAAACGTTTGGGAGTGTATCAAGTCTATGATTCGACTATGAAAATTATCATTCATACTATGGACTCCGGACCAGGTGCGTTCATCTTCCTGCCAATACGACCAAATTGCGAAAGATAGGTAAAGTGACTACTATATATCGAAAGCAGATTGCGACCAAAATAGAGACCACAACATCTTGGTCTTCTATCTATGTTTATATAAGTTTACTCACTTAAATATGTAGATCTACTTTGGCCCACTGACACTCGTGGTTGTCTAATAAAGCGGTAACGTCGTTACGATGCTAACGACCCAACATCAAATCATTTCGGGGACTTAGTCGAAAGTATAGATCATCCTGGATGAGATGACCTCTTGGAAGGCAAGACCAAGGAAAAATTGGATGGTATCGGGAGACCTATTCACCTGATCGTGGAAAAACTAATCATATTCAATAATTACTGATAGTCTTGAAATCTACTCACAACATAGCTAATTGGTTAATATCGCATCATCAGTTAGTAATCGAGCTTGAATTTAATTAGCGGAATACTTTTGACAATTTCGATTTTAAGTAGGTTTTTGAGACCACACAGTCCATATATATTTTAGTAAGCTTGCTAAAATATTTCCTTGCTGTCTTCTAGTCGCTTTAATTGCCTTTGGTCTCTCAATTTATTCATACTAACAGACAAGGTAATAAGAATGCTAAAAAGCTAATAGAGACTTGCTTTTTGCTCCGCTTCTGCCTGTGATTCATGGTTGAAAAAGTTCGGCATGTAAGTGAGATTATAGCCTAGCTGACGGCACATCGCGATCTCTAACGGGATGCATTTCTCTGGACGTTTGTTTTCATCACTTTCTAAGACACTCTCTGGCCGGGCAAATCCACCAGGCTCCAAACGTCCAGAAGCATCATTTGACGTTTGGACTACAGCGGGCTCATCGAGGAGTGAACGACTTCTGAGTGGCCGCCGAGAAGACTGTAGATTTCCAAGTCTCAAGTCTGGCAACCTTACAAGCGATGCATAAGCTCGATCTCTTGTTTCGGCTTGCAAATCTCTCTGGGAATGACTGGAACGGGAGATGAGGCTATATACTCCTTTCTCATGCAGTAGATTTGGACGTCTCGGACCGCCATCGGTAGCAAGGGCCGAGCTGGCAGAGAGGATTGCCGGCTTAAGCCCCTTTTGAAAACCTAAACGTGCATGGGCAGGCTCGATGCAAGCAGACAAGCTGAAGAATATAAGGACCACCGGACTGAGAAATGCCAAGAAGGTGGCGGCATTCTTGCCGACTTTTTGAAACCGGAGACCAGTTGGTTCTCTCGGGAGAGGACAGTGCTTGTCGTAGTTGATAGTAGACGGAAGATATGAACCATCGGAATTCATTTCACCTGATGATACATCAAGGCCTGAAATTAAATGGCATACGAATGGAAACAGCATGAAAGTTATTTATCACCGGTGGTTAAAGTAGAACCCAACCAACCCAGCCATAGTTGTTCGACGGAGTGGGCATACATGCACTCAATTATTTTTGCTATTATCGACAGTTAAGCCCTCTTACAATAGCATAGCCTTAAAAAAAGATACCTAATTTCACCGGATTTGAAATCACCCAAAGTACAGATAGTTTTGATACTTACTTTATAAGAATATAGCCTGAAGTATCCATATCAAATGTCCTGGTTTCTCAATCCACACTTGTTCTGATTATGGCAACGACATTTTTTGCCCTGAGGAAGTATTTTGCATGTGCCTCTTAAACATTTCAAGCTCTAGACAAAGTGGAGTAATGCAGTGCTTCTTCTTACCATTTTTGAAGCCCACTCTCTTTCTCAGTCAGCTCTAAGCCACAATTCTATTCTGACAAATTTTTCGCATAGAGCAGTTGTGAGTCGACAAGTTTATCAAGTGTAAATATCTTGGGCATTGGTAAATAAGAGATACAAATGGTGAAAATTGTGATTTATGAATATATGAAGTGGTGTTGGTCCTGTATTTAGTCTTGAAAAGAATGATGATGAGGATGTTCCTAGGCTCGCTTGCATTGTTAATAATGTAAACGCTGCGAAAATATGGTAAATTTTGTAATCAATAAAGTATGCTGGTATAAATTGTGGCAGCTATGATTAACATGTGATGTGGGAATTTGGCAAAGAGCAATTGGACAGTTAACAAATGAGGAACTGTATTTGTATACGATTAGCTTGACAGTGGGATTTGCATTGAGTGTCTTGTCAACTTTTTAAAGTAGCCGGCAGACTGTACCATCAAAGGATGGCTACCAACATTTTGGGGACAAGATTTGTCCTTTAACGTACCGTTTTACTTTTAAAGTTTACTTTAATGGATTCACAAGTTGCTATGATCGGTGCTAGAGCAAGTTCTATTATAGACTCGATATGAACCATTTGAGCAGGTTAGGCTTCGTCACACCGTCCTGCTAAGAAATCCAAGTTCAAATCTCGATTCACGACTCCTTGTCAACATTACTTCCGTTTACGATTAGGCTATGCCACATGTCTCTTCAAGCCAACGTTTTTTACAAGAGAGTCCAGGTATCCGAAGCTAGCGAGGGATTCTTATTAATTTAAATGTTTAAGCAAGCGTCAACATTGCAGGATTAAACGCTGGCTCATTTAGGCAAAGAAACAAGTGTGACCACAGTAACCTCCTCTTTAAACATCGACTTTGCTTATCTGCAAGCATGTAGTGTAAGCATAAGGTAGCCAACCAAATAGTGGGATACCTTCTTAAGTTCTAAAAGTTGGGAACAAAAAGTAGGTAGGATTTCAGCCGGACACCTTTCTTGGTTTCAATTTTGGGCGAATCTTTTGTAAATGATAGTTTTGGGTTCTGGCGAGGCTTGTCTCATGGTAG